TTGTATTGAAATCTTTTGTACTGAAGTGTGTCGGCATTAGTCTTGGCTGGGGGGAAAAAAAGTTCTCAGACAAAAGCAGTTGCACTTTATCACATTCAGTGTTTGGTGTTTTGTGAAATTACACTTAATTGACGTCCAGGTTTTTCATCCGGCTGTTATTTTTCTGTTTGATCATCTTTGTCTGGCATCTCTCCCTGCAGCTGTCTGATGTATAAACACATTTATCGTATTTGTACTGCGCTTTTTAAAAGTTCCCCCGTACGACATGTTGCACGAACGACTCAGTCTTCGTCCCTGACAGTGAGCGACCCAAGAGGGACGGAAGGTTAGACAATATCCTCCCTCTCTCTGTGTGTGACGCGAGGTGAAACGTCAAGGCTGTCCTGTCATTTCAAACACCAATCCCTCAAGTACAGGGTCCAGTGGTTCAAAATGAAGCCGGAAAAGCAGCTCATCCAAAACTCATCCAGGCGCATCGTCGTGCCGAAGAATCAAGCCTCCTCCTTGGGGATTGCCGAGGTGGCACAGGAGGATTCTGGGTGGTATTAGGGCGAGGTGAACGTCCTGCAGCTGGTCGTCTTGGGATGAGAAACAAATAGCCGAACGTGAATTTCAATCAGTGTTTTGGTGACGTCTCCGTTCTGGTGATTATGTCTCATTTGTGTTGTTCTGTGCTCCAGCTCCGCACAAGCACCATTGTGAACCACCTCCACCACCACAGGGCCATGCAGGCTCAGTCTATAAAAATTCCAGTCATGTGAAATGCCCTCAGAGTTCATCTTCTTGCCTGAGCAGTTTCATGACAAATTTAGAAATAATCACCCCGGCACCGTGCGCGCTGCCTTGTATCGATCTCGCTCGGGGAATTGAAACTCACCAGAAAACAAGGCAGAGAGGGAATGCTAAATTATTATGTGGAAATCTTCCATGTGGAAGAGAAGCTTCCTTTTGATTTTCTTTGGCTGCCTTCGCCAAACAACAAATGATGTTTCTGTCTTGAACATTTTCTATATACTGTATATTTATATATATTTTATTTAAATCAATGATTTAATATTTATATTTGCTTGTATTTTAAAGATTATAAATTCTGGGGCTCAGGCTGTCAACAAAAGGGTTCTCCTGTATCTCAGGGGTGAGATTTTTGGGTTTACTCTCTTTCACGTACCATTACGATCATTTGTGTTTGGAAGGTTATCTAACCATCCGTTCAGTAGCAGAATTATACTTAGGTAATACAGGGTTCTCTGTTTGTTCTACTGATGTATTCATTTTCTGAAGCACACACACTCACTCCAATTTGTGCATTTTTCCTCATGTCATGTTTGTCTTTCTCCGACGCATGTTTATCCTCTTTTGTTTTCGTGGCTACATTATGACTAATACCCCCCCCGCATCCTATTTTCATATTTCTGCCCTAGTTTCCCTTCTCGCTCCATAGGAGGATTTTCTGCAGCAATGACCTGGTTTCTCGATGTAAATCTCATCTGATCATCCTCACTCTTCCTCCACCTCCACCTCCTGCCCCCCAAAAATATACCTCCAGATTCGCCCAGAAACCACAGACGGGTCAGTGGGCTCTCCTGTGCCTCCCCCGTGTGCTTCACCCTCACCTGGAACTGCCAGAGCACAGCGGCCGATATCAGTCACCTGTCAGTCACCAACTGCACACTTCCTGCCCTCATCCCTCAGGGTAACCCGTCCAGACACTTGGTCGACGGAGCCCAGCTGTCCTCGGATTGGTTGGTGAACTCAGTGCCACCGTGCTGGCCACAGTGTTTCCAGTTGATGGACATCCACAGTCCAGAGGTGCACCCCCCCCCCCCCAGTGGGTTTCTTCTCACCTTCACCTGCAGGACCACCCCACCACGACCTCCCCTCTGACCGCCTCCTTCACCCGGGGTAAATAAAAGCAGAATCAATTCAGAGGCAGTGGCTCAAGAAAAGTTTTTATTACTGCTATTTTAAATGTTCCTCAAATAGAAACTTGTTGTACCCATCATCAACTTTTTTTCTCAGAGATCATATTTTTTTTTCCTTTTGTCATTTCACTATGACAGATTGTGATGGTTATGATTTCTTTTTTTTTGTTTTTCATGGAAAAGATGATTGTCAGAGGGGTGAGTCACTGCTGAAGCAATTTTAGAGCATGTCATTGCAATTTCCTCCCAAAAAAAAAAGGAACACTGCTCTTAGTTGTTGAATTGATTGAACATTGACCCAGAATCTGAAAATAACCTGATTTAAAATGTCGTCATTCGTCATTTGATTTCTCAACCTACCCTGTGAGCTCAGTCTGCTGTTAGCTGGCTGGATAATAATAACAATAATAATGTTTTTCGCCACCGTAGCAACAAGCTGGAATTCATTACATTAGCTCATGATGTTGCACATTCAGATTCTCACGTCATATGTCAGACATTCCCAGAATTTTTGATACCTAACCTGAAATTCCACATTATCTTAAATCAATTCTTTCTGTTCAGAACATGCTGTTTACAAAGCAGTGCCTTATTTTATTCTGCCTCGTTTCTTAAACTGTTGTGTGGATTCATCTTCACTGTCGTCCCCCCTCACGTTGCCTGCAGCCATTTGATCAATTTCAAAAATAAATATTGATTGATTGATTGAGCTTAATGCATAACATTAAATCTATAGTCTTGCTTGTTGGAAATCCAATCAGAAAATCCTGGTAATATCTATTTCAGTTGCTCAACTCTTGCACTGACGATTAAACCAGGATAATTCCATGTCCATCCCAGTCTCCGATCCTCAGTTACCTCATGTGATGACTAAAAATGAACTGGATTTTCTTTGCTGGAACCTTGGATTCCCTCAAACAACCTCCCTCTACATTTCTCATAATGTAATAGATAGTAAATAAATAACCCATCCCGCTCTGACACGGCCTCACATATACCACGGGTTGCACGCTGCTCAGCGTTCGCCCCTCTTGACTGTTAATGTGGGTCAGACATCGATCATCCCAAGGCAACAGAGTGCCTGCAATACTCCAACAAATTAATGATTTTTCCAATCAATGTTTAAACACCTCTCCTCCCAGTGAGGCGGTGCGCGTCCATCAAGCGAAGCCAGTTCAACCTTCCTGATTTCATTCCGTCCTGCTCAATAACGTGATACGTCGGTGCTAATCAGCGTTTCACTATTTTCCCTCCTCGTTCCAGACGCCTCTCCAAGTGAGCCGGTGGTAAATTGGAATATTCTTAAGATGTGTTTCTCCTCTGCTGTGGTTGTTTGTGTCTTGGCTGGAAGGTGAGTGAGTAATAATCTGACGGGAAAAAATTAATTAATGTGATCTCGCTCCTCGCAGCAGTCGAACAATTCTGTGTGAAGGGCAAATGATGTCTGTCATGTGACTTCAATATTCCAGTCTACCTTTGGCACAGACACACACACACACACACACACACACACACACACACACACACAGTGTCTCAATGACTCCAAAGGACATCACATTGATTTATTTCCTGGAGACTAATCTTAACCACAGTTACTGCTTGAATAATCCTAACCTTAATCTTAACCTAAGCTTAACCTTAAACTAAACCCAACCTAAACTCATGGTTCCACATATGAGGGATGGATTTTTATCCCCATAAGGAAGACGGGTCTTATTGATGTGGTTATGTAAACAGGTCCCCACAACATGACTCACACCTAGACCACACACACACATGCACGCACTTGTGTGTACACATTCACACGGGGCTGTTTTGTTCTTTAGCCTTATCCCGGTAACCTATCACACATTGTTAGGAAAAAGTCAACACTGACGCAACAACCAATTATTTCCTTCCAGGAACTACAAAATGAAATGTGAGCGAAAACAAAAAAAATAAAAAAGGCAAGCCGGGTGTTCTGCAAATCTCAGGAGACGAACCTTTGACAAACAGCATCGCACAAATAACAGTCCAGAGTCATCATCACAGGGAAATTAATTCTGAACTATCAGCTCATTCTGCTGCATGAAACTGTGTCGCTCTCATGTTTGATGTTTGAAAAGTGGTTCCCAGGTTCAGGCCACATGCTGCGTGTTCTGTTTTGCTTTCACACGCTGTATATCCTCTAAACACCGATGCATCGCCGACTCCTTTCTTTCCATTCAAGCTGTTTATCTCTGTCACCCTTTACCACTGTGACGTGCTGACTGGCGTGTTTGCGGATTTGCTCATTGTGTCAGCGGCTGCTAGCCCGCGCATCTCCAGGTCTGTGTGTCAAAATGAATACTTCATGCATGATCCACCTGTCAAACGGATACAGTGATCAGCTCAACCTCCTCGCGGGGCCTATAATCCTCCCGAAACAGGATTACGACCGACGCCAGCGCTCGCTTGCGTGATATAATTGTTTGCGTTTGCAGAGTGTGGTGTGAGATCTTGATTCACGTGTCGGAGGAAGTTGGTTTTAATTTTAGCCGTGCCGACACTGCCGAGAGCAACGAACACCGACAATGATCATTAAATTTAGAGCGAGATGATCTTTCTGCAGCACGGCCAGATTACTGAGGTCAAAAACCCAAAAATTATCTGCTCAGTAATTTTGCAGTTGCTTATAACTTAATCCTTTTTTTATTCTACACTGCTTTTTTAAATGTCATCCTATAGTATATATATATATATATATATATATATATATATAGTCACATGGGCTGCAACATGGCTGAATATTTACCTACAACACACACATTCACTACTTGCTCCTACAAAACCAAGTTTGTCCTTATCTCTCCTCTTGCACATAAATGCAAACACAAACACCTCATGTCGGACTAGTGCACATATTAGTCATAAATAACGCGAATATAGTACGACAGTATTTGTTTGTGTGGTTTGTCTTATTCCTTCATACACTCATGCATATATGGACACACACACACACACACACACACACACACACACACACACACACATAGTCCTTATCCGACAAAAGAATGAGTCATAAATTATATAAAAAAGGGGTTTATATGATTTGCGTATGAAAATAGTGCATCTACATTTTGTCTTATATAATTACAACCCTTGTCATACAGCTTCCAAACAAATGACATGTATTCATACATATATTCATACATTTATCCTCCTTTAGTACCACATGTGTTTTAAACAACGTCATTTAAATGATCCAAAATATAAATTATATGTGACATTGTGTAAACAAGAATATCCTTAATTGTATAAGACAAAGTACAAAATACACAAATATATGATCAAAAAGCTGCATGTAGCTGCAACTAACACTATAAGCTCTATTTGTTTTAACAGAACACCTCATGAGCATCTTCTTACAAACACATGACACATCCTGTTTGTGGTTAAGGTACCGTCCGTGTGCTTTAGCTCTCATTGCTTAGACATGACGTCCAAAGCTGTTGCTTAGATAGTCTTTTTGTTGACTTCTCCACCGCGGAGCACCACAACGCCCGACTGCATTAATGTACATCTTATGAAATCCTGCTGTTGTGTAATGAATGTTTTTCATTTGAATGTGACAGTTCAAAGTAGCCCGTCTCTGCATCTTTTGCACGTAACGCTGCACAAAAACCGCCGCCGCTTGCTCCGACAGACAGAACGGTTCTTCTTCTGTCTCGTTTCCGAGCAGGAAGTTAAACATTTACGAGTTAAACAGCGACGCAGCGTGCAATTTTCTCACATGTAAAAACATAAACACGACATTAATTTCCTGCTTCCAGGGATGTAAAAAGAAATTAGCGAAGGCAGCTGTCCATAGCTCCCTTTCAGTCAGATAGCATTGATGTCGTCTGTGTGTTCCTTATCTTTCGTAGTCTTGTTGTTTCGTCCCCTCGAGTCCCAGTTAACGTGACAGGACGTGCTCATGCGTAGACGAGTCTTAAACCCTTGAATCACACTGCTCACATTTCCTCTCATAGCAGAGGAGGAGAAGTAGAAGATAAGAGGATCAAGACAGGCGTTGAAGGTGCTGCAGAGTAAGGCCTTGTCTCTCCAGTTGGGACTTTTCCATGTAATATAACCCACGATGTGCGAGACGTTGTAGGGGCCGAAACACAAAGCGAACACCAGCAGAGTTCCTAAAGCCATGCCAATGGCACGGAGGCGCCGGCGCCGGTCAATGTGCTGCAGGTTGGACAGAATCCTGATGAAATTGATGTAGCAGAAACTGCAAATCAGAAAAGGGATGCAGAAAAGTACCAAGCAGAGCTCGAGACGCACCGGCAGGAGGACATTCAGCTGAGCCTTGGTGAAATTCTCATAACACACCTCCCTCGTGTTGTTGGGAGTGGCAGAGGTGCTGTTCTGAGAGCCGATAAAGGGAGTGATGACCACAATGCTCAGGTGGGCAAAGGAGAAAAACCAGAAGAAGATGCTGGCGGCAATAGCATACGCAGGCCGTCGCTTCACAGAGTAGTGGATGGGGTAAGCCACACCAAGGTAGCGATCCACACTGACCGCCGTGAGGAAGGAGGTGCTGTTGTAGATGGTCATGTAGAAGACGAAGCCAGACAGCGGGCAGAGGATATAGGGCATGTCCCACAACATGTTGTTCATCACCTCCTGCATCTTAAAGGGCAGGAAGAGGAGGAAGAGGAGATCAGAGATGGTCAGGTTGAGGAGGAGGATGTCGATCGGCGTGGGCTTCTGCCTCACTTTTTTGCAGAAGGTGTAGAAGGCGAGGACATTGGCGGGAAAGCCCAGCACGAAGGTGATGATGTAGACGGACAGGCACAGGCCGAAGTGGCAACTCTGCATGGTGGCGCCCGGTGTATGTCACTCACTCTGTCACTCAGTCAATCAGAGATCATCAATATGTCCTGGACTCTAGTGGGTTGTGGGGGTGGTTGAGTACACCGCAGCACTGGGAGGTGAGATCTGTCAGGCGGTCAGAACCGCAGGGGACGGAGGCGTCTTATTGGGTCAGCTGCCTGGAACAAACCCGTGGAGACAGCGTGGCTCTCCTGTCCCTGCCGATAAACCAACGCTCATCGTTTCCTCGAGGGCTTTGAGCTCTGCTGATAAGAGAGAATGGAAAGAGATTACCACACAGCACCGCTCACTTTTTCAGCCCATTGTCCATTTGACACTCAGCTTAAGAGTGCACGGCTATAATTTTTACACATTAAAAACCACAGGAAGAAGCCAGAGATAAACTCTATTCTATGTTTTTATGTCCCTGCTTAATTTCTGTCCCTACTTCAGAGTTTATTGTGGAGCTGAATCATCTCTTAATGAGGAGCCGGTGTTTTGGTCCGGCACATGGTTTTGTATATAAACCGTCTTATTGCTTCCTCTGCGTTGTAAATACACCACAATAATGATGCTTTTTATCACCAGCTCCCAGCTCTCACTGTATCACGATGCACAAATACTGGACATGTTGTGAAAATGATGACCCTCATAAACATAATGACTTAACTACACAAGGGAGTTGAGCGTCTCCGAGCTTTGGCTACATCTAATTCCTGCAACGCGTCATAAAGTACGTTTAAAATGAAGACTCAAGAAAATAGACATTAAGATATAGACATTAGACAATAAAACAAAAAAAAAAAGAGAGAAAGCTGGTTTCTTACCCTTTGTGCAAAGATCTCCTTCAAGTGAACATGCGTGAGCAAAGGTCAGCTCTTATAGTCCGACGGCACAGTGGGGAAAACTTACTTTTACTACAGCGGAGTGATGAAAACAGAGAAGTGCCACTAATTTAAGCAACTCGACTTCCTCCTCGCTTCTTGTGGCGGTTTGTCAGGACGCACATGTTCCCTCCAACTCCTCCTCCAACAAGACGAGTCAGGGTTTTTTCTCCCCTTGTCCCTCTGCTGTGTGTCTTGGCACACCCACCGGTGGTGATTGCTCATGTATTTCATCTCCTCTATCAAGCAGCCGTCCTCCTCTGCCTGCTGTCACCTGGCACATCCCACTATTTACATGATAATCTAAACATCCAGTGCAGATAATAGAAATTATTAGGTGGGAGATATCGCTGTCATTTATCACCCACGCTCGCCAAACATGGTTTCCGTGGTAACAACTGGGCCCTTTTTCTTCAGTGTGAGTGGTGCAGACTGGTCTGAGGGAGCCTGTGTGATCTTTGGGTCATTAAATAACATTTAGTCATCCATGCCCCGCACTTCTCCGAGGACCCTCTTTCTGACGAGTAGGAGGGGTTGGACAGAGGAGGTGACCCGGCGTCGGAGCGCCCCCCTCCCTTCACAACATGCGGTGAGGGCTGCACTGTCCAAACACAGGCTGGTTGTTTGGTTAGCCACACAACGCACACGCTAATAAAAAATAGAAAAACAAAACGTGCCTGACTTGTGGTTTATTCAGAGAAGACTGATGAGGCTGTCCATTGTGAGTCGAAAAAACACCCGGAGATGTGAGAGGTCAGGGGCCCGTTCTGCATATTTACCAGCTAACATCACAGCAGCAGGGTTGAGTCTCTCCTGCGCGGCGGTAAAGCGTGACGCGCAGGTAGTCATGGTTCATTTTGCCGAGCAAGAGAAACAAGCTTTTGAAGTAATAATGACTCGAAGGTGTACAAAGAGTCCTTTTGATGTGGCTTAATGTATGTAAATCACACGGAGGCACTTTCGCTTGAGCCTCGTCCTTAAACACTTGACTCCCCGTCTGTGAGTTTTGGGTATTTTGTCGCTGCGTGACCCAACTTCTTATTAGATATTCCCCTTTTACTACGTCTGTCACTTCTTGGCCCTGCTATTGATCTTTTCAGTTTCTCACAGGCCTCCGCAGCCCAGACAAGTCGACCAAAAGGAAAACGTTTGGGTTTCAGGCGACGAGCTCCTGTCTGAAATCAGCACATTAGTATTCCACACATCAATGACTCACAATCTCACTGTATTATACAACTTTGAGTTTCCCGCTATGCTCGTGCTTTGTTTATTTTGGGTTTTTTTTCCAGCACGACTTCAGGGAAGTTTCAATCACAAACTTTGACGCAACACACACACTGATGTTTCATCACTGCAGGATAACCTGGTTTAGAAATTAACCACAGACAACTGGCCCCTGTTGCAAGAAATCTCCAGAGAAATGTAAACAGGTTCCATTTGGTGTAATACGACATATTTTAACTTTCTTCTAAACAGACACAGAAAATGATTATTTACCTCATTAGTCTATTAACATCTATTCTATCTACTATTAACTACAAGGATTATTGGCCGTGACCAGGATTTATTTAAATACTGTAGTTCCCCTGACAACAAACAAAACAACTCATGCACCAGAGGAGCAAATTTTATTTAAGTGGGGGGGTGGGTGTTTTTTGCTGAACATAGAGTGTATATTTATTATAGGAGTAATCATAAAAATAAATGTGCTCTTATATTAAAAAGTGGTAAACAGGCTACCCCCGTTACCCGAGCCCAGATAAGTGGAAGACAAGGAATGGAAGATCTTTAACTGAGTCTTTTGTGCCTGAATTTAACCTTTATCATGACATTATGAAGATATTTTCACATTTCAACAGTAATTACTTGAGTTTGTTTGTGTTGCTGTTTGTCAGGAGGATTCCACAAAAACCACTGAACGGATTTCAACCACCCTCGGTGGAGGGATGGGACGTGGAGCAAGAAATTATTACATGTTGGATTCCTGACATTTTCACCAAATTTCCCAGGAAATAATTTATGGATCTTCATGAAAAATATCAGGCACACTCAGAGAACTGATATGAATTCTCCGAGTATGCAGATTTATTCAATTTAACGGGTGAAGATAGGCACTCTACTAGTTGTTCCACTTTCTTTACCAGAAGCAGACTCTCATGCTGTTTATAGTGTTTCATCAGTGTTTTCCCATAAACTGCTTGTCACAAGCTATTTTACAGTACAGTGCCGATCATCCACCACTATAGTCTATGTATTTTGTTTTAACTTATTTGTTAGGTTTTTTGTTGTCTTGATCCTTGGCTGTATGTATAATGTAAAATAATTCCAGCCTATAAAGCTGAGACTAATACAGCCTCATAGCCGTGGTGGCAGTATGCACACTCTGAACGCCTTTCCAGTTCGAAAAGCACAAATGCACAATCCAGATCTACGGAATACGAAGAGACAAAAATGTACTGTTAAATATGACGGACATGTTTGGGAATAGAGATGCAAGTATTTTTTAGCAGAGCTGTTGTTAACTGCTGTGTAGTAGTGGTAGCAGTAGTAGATTGGCACTACAGGGTGCACTGAGGCTTGTGGCAATAAACATTACAGATACATCCTTTCAGGTGTGTGGTGTGCGAGCTTGTGTAAGTGCACAAGATAAACAAAGCTGTCGCTGCAGCTCTGTGTGTGAAGGGGAAATATGGGATTTCCCCAACAGCATCGGACAGCTTGTGAAAAACAGGTCATGAATAAGCAGCAACAGACCCACGACCCTGAGGTGTTTTCCAGCGCTGGGGATGCATGGAATGTAATCAGACGAAGCTGTTGCATCGTGATGATATTTGTGACAGAGCACTGAAACCGGAGCGAGGACACAGCTCAGATGTGCAGGAGGAAGAGAGGAAGAGAGAAGCCTGCAGAGTCACAGTCTGTGTGGTTACTGAAGCAGCAGGGATAGATTCATACATTATATAAGCGAGGAGTGGAGGAGTGGAAAGATTTATTGGGGTGCCAATGTAACAGACTTCAAATATCAGAAACCGAGCGAGGGAGACTCTTCGGCCTCCACCGCAAAAAATATCTGCAAAAACATCAGCTTTTTACTCCTTATTTCAATTAGATTAATATTTTATTTGACCAAATCTCATAAAGTTAATGATGCTCGCTGAGAGTTTTAAGTTTTCCACAGGTTAAGTAGAGAGTGGGAGCAATAATACTTTATCAGGCTGCTAATTCTAAATCAATTACATACTTTCAAAGGAGAGTTTTAATGTTCCGTAATCACCAAGAACTGAATACGGGGGAGACAACAAATTACTTTTCGGTTAATTATAATGAAATAATAAACTAATAGTAGTCCTTGATTTAAGGATTTGAGGATTTAAAGGTTGGAAAAGCTACAGCAAGAGCAGGGTTTGAAAACAAGCAACTGATACATCCACGTTTCCGTGATTCGCTCGCCAACGTCTGTCTATCGTCTCCCCACAGGCGGGCTGGTTAGTGAGACAGTCCAATCATTTCATTTGGTCCGAATTAGTTTTGTTTATCACAGACACCAGCTTTTATTCTTTTTTGTCAGACAACTTTATTTGTTGATTGTGTTTCAGAAGCAAATTACCAACTATACTTTTAATATCAAACCTTCCACAAACCGGCCTGACCCCTGTGAGCCTCGTTAAGGTCCAGGAAATAAACGGACCTGTCGTGTGCTCAGGGACTTTACAGACAGTTCTTCGTTCAGTTGTCATTTCTATCGTGAACAAAGAGTCGGTGTTTCGTTGAAGAGCTCAAACACACGAGCAGCTCAGAGAACAGCTGCTCTGTATCATTACCAACAGCCTGAAAACGAGTGGAACAAAAGTGGACGTGACTTTGTTTGCGTCAGCTCCTCGGTTTATAGGAAACACTCTCTGTTTAGCTATTATGAGAAAGAGGAAGTAACACATCAGATGAAGTAATCAAAAATATGCAACCGTGTATGCATCAGTTTCTTTGGTTTGAACAAACAAACAAAGTCATGTCTCATCTTTTCTTCTCTGTTTGCTGCTAAAGGTGAAAAATGTTCATTCATGTTCAATGTTCAAAAATGTTCAGCTGTATATTAGGTTCTATGTTCTTCATATGAAATGTTGATCTAAAGTCAGCGGATATTAATCTTAACTCGTAACTTTTCCCTCCGGAACATACATCAGTATACTCATGTAGGTACTGAGTTCTTATCATTACATTGAAATGATCTGAAGTCCAATGTGATGAAGGAATTAAAATATATTTTATATATATATATATATAAACAAATTACAAAACACGACATTATTTATAATTGTATATATAAAAATTATTTTCTCGAAAAAAGATCGTACAAAGATCGTACAAAGTCAGTTAATACCTCTAATCTTTTTTTTATCGTGATATATATTGATATCGACTGATATAAAAAAATATATCAAAATTCGATTTTTTTCCATATCATTCAGACCTGAGTCCACATAGTTTGTGATTTATTGTGTTTTCTTAGTACTTAACATGGAGGAGGCAGGATTTATGACCAGCCAGCTTCCAGATGGAAATCAAAATGCTCTGGATTCACTTTTCGGAGCCGTCATGTATATTTATGTTTATTTATGTTTATTTACGATCTGCACGACAGACTCAGCTGCTTCCTCTGTGAATGTTCTTCAGATGAGACGCGACGGCCTCAACACGTTACATGTGACACTCTAACAATGGCTGCTGCTGAAATCTGCCTCCATCTTGTCTCTATGAGAGCTCTGTGTATTTGAAATAAACGGTTAATTGTGTTACGCACACAGAGATATCTCAACAATGAAGAGTTGGCAGCTCCGTGCTTCATGGACTTGAGCGTCCCAGAAGCCCCCCTCACTAATCCCTGTGTTAATACCCAGAGCATGAACCTATAAGCTTCCTTATATTTGTGGCGGGGGGGGGGGGGAATAACAACATAATTCTCCCATCCCGACAGAAGAGCTCAGTGGCTGCTTAGACACCACATCGCTATTTGGAGAGTGACTTCGCTTCCGAC